CTGAAGGGTTCTGTGCTGGGCCTGTGCTCTGGGTCTGTTCAGGACCCCGCGGCCTGGGTCGTCTCACTCACTCCCGGGCCTGCGCTCTGGTCTGTTCAGGATCCCCCGGCCCGGGTCTTCTCACTCACTCCCGGGCCTGCGCTCCGGGTCTGTTCAGGATCCCGAGGCCTGGGTCGTCTCACTCACCCGCCGGGCCTGCGCTCTCTATTGTTTCATTTTTAAAAGTCATACATAACTTCACATATAGTAAAGAGTGTGCAGGGACCAGGGTTTGATCCCCGCAGGGACCAGGTTTCCATCCCCGGCACCACATGCCGTGCCGGCCCTGCCCCCGGGACGCACTGAAAGGGTGCGCACCTGTAATCAGCGTTTGGGAGGCTGAAAACAGGAGGATCACTACAATTCCGCTTTGTGTAGTGAGACCCTGTAGACCCTGCACTAAGTACATTTTAAAAGAAAAAAAAGAAGTGTGTGATTGGCGGAGAAGCATTAAAATCCCATCATAAGTCAACCACTTTCTTTCAAAAGTTGCAATAAATTATTTTTTTCTGTTTCACCTGTGGTATCCTAATTTCTACAATGTGGATAATAGACCTGAACTGCCAAACTCCCAGTTATTGTGACTAGTAATTGATCATAATATGTGAAGGGTTCATAAAGCATAACAAATGACATTTAAGTAGCCACCCTAACCACAGCACCTCTGAGCTCATTTAGTAATTTTAAATCCTGATAAAGAATATTCCGGTTGTACTGGGGCCAAAGAAGGTAGAAAATACACAAATTATCAAAGACATAGCTTAGTGGCACAAGCACTTGCCTGGCAAGCGCAGGGTCCTAAGTTCAATTCCCAGTACCAAAAAAAAAAGAAAGGAAGAGAGAGAGAGAGAGAGAGAGAGAGAGAGAGAGAGAGAGAGAGAGAGAGAGAAAGAAAATACACAACTCATATGTACAAACTAAAGCCAGGAATGTACACACAGTCATGAGGGCCTTCCTGTGTGTGAATATGACCATGGTTTTAGCTCTAAGGTCAAGCAGCAAGGGGTAATTGCACGTATGAGAGAAAAACAGCTAGAGTCCAGCTCAAGGACAAGTAGATGCGCTGGTGTATTTCAGCGCGTACCTTCCGTTCGACCATCCTATCCCATCTCCAGTACCTGAGCTTTTCTGACTTCTGCCCACGCTTCCAGGCTGATCCAAATTAACCAGTCACCACTTATTTACGTCACTCCTAAATTTTAGGACTCATTCTTGCAGGAATGTGCACGCTTCTCTTTCTAACATTCATCATATATAAATAACTGTAGACAGTCCCATGACCCCAAAGAGTTGCCCACTGGAGTAAGTAGAATAAAGAGTGTTTGCCTCATTTTTCCACGTTGTTGTATATGTTACATAATAGTTGTAGCAAAAAGTAAGAGAAGACCAACATTTACTAGCTTAACCATTTTCGCATGTACAGGATGGTGGCATAAAGTCTACTCCTTTTCCTCCCTCTGTTGTTTGAGATTACGCCAAACCATCCCTTTAAAAAATTATTTATTAAAAAATTTACTTATTTATTATGGATTTGCCATACCCAACCATCACATTCATCATAGAGGGTTTGTACCTCTGCCGGGTATGTCTTCTTTTTTCCCTCTTCCTTCCATCCCTTCAGGCCTTCTTCCCCTCCCCATTTTTCCAATGCTTTCTTTCCTTCTGTTCTCTTTATTTTCAATCCCATTTTCCTCCTTCTCTGCTGCGCCTCTCCCTTGCTTTCCTCCGCCTGGGAACGCGCTTCTCCCGTGTTAGGTGCATTCTCAGCACTGCGCAAGCGATCTCGGAAATCATTTCACACTGTAGCCCTGAAACCCTACACCCACGAGCCACTCTTTCCTCCTCCGCCACCCCAATCTGGGGAAACTGCAATGCTATTTTCTATTTCTAGGGAACTTGATGACGTTGAATTCTTTTGCACGATCTGTCTTTTCATAACAGGTTTATTTCCCGTATAGAATCCATCCACGCCGTGACGTGTGTCCAAATCTCGCTCCTTTTGAGGGTCGAATAATGCCCGCGTTCGGGTCCACCCCATCTCTGACTCGGGTACTCCACTTTGCACCCCTGGTGGCTTTGTGAACGATGCTGCGGCCCTGGAAAGAGCGTGGGTATTCCGCCCCAGCTCCGCTCCTCTCTTCTCCTCTCCTCTCTACCCGCAGCCCCAGCCGCCCCGGAGGCAGCAAAGAGGCCGAGGGCGCCCCGCAGGTGGAGGCCGGCAGGCGGCTGGAAGAGCTGCGCCGCCGGCGCGGGGAGACCGAGAGCGAGGAGTTTGAGAAGCTCAAGCAGAAGCAGCAGGAGGCCGCCCAGGAGCTGGAGGAGCTGAAGAGGAAGAGGGAGGAGCGCAGGAAGGTGCTGGAAGAGGAGGAGCAGAAGAGGAAGCAGGAGGAGGCCGACCGCAGGGCCAGGGAAGAGGTAGGTAGGCGGGGATGCACAGCTTGGACCTGCCCCTGGGAGGCTGAGGCATGAGGGTCGCAAGTTCCCAGCCTACCCTGAGCCATTTGGCAAGACCTCTCCCTCTTCTGAATATTCATAAAAGGGCTGGGGCTATAACTCAGCCCTGAGAAGGCCCTGGGTCTCAATCCTCAGTACCAAAAATATATATTACATGTCAAATGTAAGCTTACCATGTGCTAGGCACAGTCTAAAAACTCTGGACAAGTTCATTTACTCACTTCTCGTGAGGACTCTAGGATATTGGTGCTCCCCATCTCCTTTGTGAGGAAATTAAGGCACGGCGAGGTTGTTTTCATTTTCCAAAGACTCGCTTGCTTTAGCTTATTGCCCTGTATATGCACCCTCCTTAAGTAGAATTAGAAATAAAAATTACAAGGACGAAAGCTTTGGCTTAGCACATGGAAGAGATATTTAACCAGCTACGACTGTTATTGGGGTAGTTTATAAAGTCCATTCTTTCCTTTCATGCTGGTATACGTTGTCATTTTGTGGATAAAGAACCAGGAACCAAGTAGTGGCTTGTTTGAAGATTCTTGAACTAATAAGCAGTAGAATCAGTATTGGGCCCGGGAGCCGTGGCACACTCCTGTAATCTCAGCACTAGGGACGCTGAGGCAGGAGGGTCACTGTGAGCTCAAGGCCAGCAAGGGCTACAGAATGAGTTTAAGGCCAGCCTGAACTACATGGCAAGACCCCATCCCAATTGGGACCCTGCTTTTCCAACTCTATCCCTAGAACTTTTGCGAGTGATATCCCGTCCTTCAGAATATCCAGCTTTTCAGCAATTCTCTGACGTGGCTCCTATACACAATTTCCCTAAGCTGTGTGAAAAGTTTAGGTGAATTATTCCAAAATCTCTTCCAACTCCAGAGAACAGAGGAGTTAATGAAATAGATTACTGTAAACATCTCAATGTCACCACTGTGGGACTAGCTGTCATCATTTGAGGTTTGTCAAAGCATCTAAAATAGTGTGTTCAGTAGAGGTAGGAGGCAACCAGGAAACCAGGAAGTAATCTCTCAGGTATTTGGCAGCCATAGTACCATGGATCTGTGCGTTTCGCAGAAGCAATCTCGTTTGTCTTCAAGATTCTTCTGAGAAGTAAGGAGAAGGAAAGTTTTCATTCACTGCTCATCTAGAGAAGTAGAAGATCATTGCTAAATGACACTGGGAACAATGATGATACTATATCACCTGACGGGAATCACCTTATTGATATTTATCTCCAAATTTTACATGTCCTTTCCAGTGTGGTCCTCGCAAAAGCTCTAGGAAGTGGGTGCTGGAATCATCCCATTTTACAATGACCAGATCATTAGCTACATGACTAGGCCAGGTACAGACCCGGGTACCTGGACCTCCCTGACCGCCACTGAGGATGGCAGCATCCAGTCTAGAGCAAGAGTCTGGCACCCTCTCACTCCTGCCTGCCCCCTCAGAACCCATTTTGACGTCCTTGTTCCTTGTTCTTTCTCTTTAGGAAGAGAAGAGGAGGCTAAAGGAAGAGATTGAGAGGCGAAGGGCTGAAGCTGCTGAGAAGCGTCAGAAGATGCCAGAAGATGGTTTGTCAGATGAAAAGAAGCCCTTCAAATGCTTCACCCCCAAAGGTTCATCTCTCAAGGTACTTTCCCGAGGAAACTGTCTTATAACCCCTCTGTTATAGAAACTTTCTTCTAGGGCCTTCTTTAGTTATTGATTATTCAAGACCCTCCTTTGCCTCATTTATCTTTTAGTTACCCTGTCCATTGAGTCTGGTCAGGCTACTATCACTAAACATCTTAGGCTGGGTAATTTGTAAACAACCTAAACTGATTATTCATACTCTGGAGGTTGGGAAGTCTGAAATCAAAGCACTGGCAGATCCAGTATCTGGTGAGAGCTGTTCCTCATAGATAGTTCTTCTCACTGTGCTGTCACAGGTGGGATGGGAAAAGCACGGGGCAAAAGAGCTCTCTGGGACTCCATCTATAAGGGAACTAATGTCATTCCTGGGAGCTCCATCCTCATAACTTAGTCATCTCCCCGAGGTCCCATCTCTCAATACCAGCACTTGGGAATTAGATTTCAACATAGGAAATTTGTGGTCTAGACAGCTTCTCCTTGTTTACTATTATTGAAAGGAAATAAAGTGGTGATATTTGCATCTGTTGTTTATTAGATCCTTTGGTATATATTAAAATGACATTTGATAGTGATCTCTAAATTTCATTGTTCTACACTCAATCCTCCGCTTCATTTCTTGGAGAACTGAAACTAGAAAAGTCTTATAAGTTTATAAAGTAGGCAAATGTATTATGAAGGTTTAAGTTGCTTGTTATGTTAGCTTTGTCATGAAAAGCAGAACAGCTGGAAGTGATACAGGTTCAAATTTTAAAGCAGTTATCATGGGAAAAGATGGATTGTGACTTGGATAGGGTCCTTTGCCAGGATAACTCTGATCCTAAGGCTGCTGTCCTTGGACAGAGGTCATACTTAACATGAGATGGGAATATTTCCCAGGACAGGAGCAGGAAGGAGCTGAGTCGAGAGATGAAGGAATGGCCTAAGTAAAAGGGGAAAAACAGCAGACTCTAGGAAATACTTTCCATTATTGATAACCATTCTGTCATTATTTCTAAATATATCTTTTGGCTTAAAGGTTAATATTTCACTGCTCTCCCAGTACAGAGCCTCACATACTGATGATACTCAGAAACCATTTGTCAAATGAATAAATAAAAGAGTGAATAGATCTTCCAAGTAATTTTAGTATATTTATTCTATCCTCATTTGCTACCAGCCTAGCTAGGTTATAAGGCATCAGTAAAAGGCAAAACCAATGGAGAATCACAGGCAGGCTCTGAAAATGAAGTGTGACTGTGTATGTTGTGATTGGTTCACATGGTAGACAAAAATGAGCGAAGCCAATCTCTTACATTTTGCTACAGTAGTCTGGGCCTCAGTCTTATTTCATACCTCTTCCCGTGATCTACATTTGTGCCCTCCATGGTGACATTTTGGCCAGTGACAGACAATACAAGCCGAGGTGCTCCATGAGATAAGTCACCCACTGACATCATGGCCCTCCTGTGTTTTGAAAGTACCCTCCATTGGTGTCACCTAACTGGAGCACCTTTCTTAGAATGTGTCCCTGTCACTTAGAAACTCAGGGCTGTATTTGTTTTTTTTGTTTGTTTGTTTTGTTTTGTTTTTCCACTATTTTTGTTTATTAAAGGATTTCATGGGCAAATAATATGTTAACATATTAATTATTAGTGCCACACAAATTGAGGCACACACTATAGTAGGAGTGTGCTAGGGATTACAAGAAGAAAGACAAGACACAACAGCTGCTCTTGACGTGTTCCTAATTGAGGCAAACAAGCAGAGACATCTACAAACATTACTTACAATGGATATAACAGAGTGTATTTATTTTTGTTCTTTTGTTTACTTTTATTAGTCCATGTTTATAGTCCGTAATGATCATAGTGACACCTCAGCTCACGCACTGAATTCTTTCTACAAGTCTAGCTGCAAATGATATTGAATGAGAATCCAATCAGATTTCTCCATTCGATCAGCATTGAACCTGACCATTGTACTTGGGGCTGCTCTCATCTAATTCAGTTTGCAACCAAATTGTGAAGAGAATTAAGTTCATAAGCCAGAATACGACTGCACATATGTAGCTGTTCACTGGGGTCTTGAACTCTATTCAAAAAAAAAAAAAAATTAGAGAAGCACAGTTTAAGGAAAGGAAGACTGTTTATTGGGAAAGAGGAGAAAGGAGTGGATAAATAACTACCCTGATAAATCAAGTAAGAGGGCTCCAGAAAGAGGGAAGACTTGAAGATCCTTTGTTCTTGGCTGCTTTGATTGGGTGACAAAAAGACCCGCCCCCTGGAGAAGGCACAACATGATTGGCTGTCCCAGACCGTAAGACTGTCAAGTCCAATACCATCACTTACATAGAAATTCCTAAATAGGCTTTATTTGATTTTTTTGTCGTCCTATCAGTCCCTATCTCTGAAATGTATAGGCTAGATAGGAGGGACTGTACATACAAGGTAAAATTAGCAATTAGGTAAAGGGAAACAGAGAGAGAGAGAGAGAGAGAAAGAGAGAGAGAGAAAATGTGTGTGTGTGTGTGTGTGTGTGTGTGTGTGTGTGTGTGTGTGTCCAGGTTTAAGTACATATTTTATTTATTAAATAAGAGCGATCTCTTAAGTGGCCACCTTCGTCACTTTTGCGTCTTATTGAAGGTGGGGAGGCGTGGCTAGGCTAGCTTGGTTAGGGCACCTGCCTGGCTTACCAACTTTCTCTGGTCTTGTTAATTGCTCTCTCACTAAAGTTTTAACTTCTTCTGGTTAGGATTAGCCAGAAAGCCCAATGAGGTCCTTATTTTCCATATTTTTTCCTGTTCAAAGCCCCTTTCCTCTACCAAAGTACATGCTGTTGGTATCACCTAACCATAGCTTTCTCAGAACATGTCCCTGTTGTTTAGAAACTCAGGATTCTATTTTGGTTTTGCTTTTTTACTTTTATCAGTCCATATTTGCAATGCATAATGATTACATTTACTGTAGAAGATGGGTGCATGTACGTAACATTTCAATTTTTTGTCTCCCTTCCCCCTACCCCCTTTTATTTTTCCAGTGTCAGATTCATTTATTCATATAAAGTTAATTGTTATATATACAGATTAAGATCCAGACAAATAATGGCCAAAGAACATATGAAACATACTGTATTAAATCAAGGTACACTCTTAGACACATTGTCTCCACTGGATTACAATAATCTTTCTCTTTTTTTCTTACTATCTGTTATATATATAAGTGTGTGTGTGTGTGTGTGTGTGTGTGTGTGTGTGTGTGTGTGTGTGTGTGTGTGTATAAAATAAACCACATGCATTTATTTTTGTTTGGTTGGTTGGTTTCTTTTTTGTATCTTAGGGAAGGGTCTACAGGGTGTTCAGGGTCTCACTACTAGATTGGACTCGTAGTGATCCACCTGCTTACAGCCTCCCAAGAGCTGGGATTACAGGCGCATGCCACCACGTCCAGTCTCAACTGCTGTCTCAGCGCACCCTTGGGGTGGGACCAGCATGGCAGGCCTGGGAATCAAACCCCACCCCGGGCCCCTGTGCCTGCTTGCAAGTGCTTTAATCTGCTGAACTATTTGGCTGGCCTTTGGCAACCACATGCTATTTCAACTTGTCTCAATTAGTTCCTTTAACATTATGATCTTCTCACGTTAATTCCATTTTTCTATAATGGCTTGAGTTTGCCTTGATTTGCGACAGTTTCCGTATGCCTCATTTTCTCTCTCCATTCATCTGTTGATGGGCATGTAGCCTGTTTCCAAGATACTGCTATTATGAGTCACACTGCTGTCCCCGTGGGTACGAGTACATCACAGTGGTGCAATGCCTTTAACTCTTATTCATACTCAGACCCTGCTCCAAAACCTGCATTAGGGAGAATTCACACTAAGCCTTGACAGGATTTGTTATTCAATAGTTGCTAGGTACGAGTTACCTAGTGTTCACTGTACTGCACAAAAGAGGGATACAAAGCAGGATTACTGGCCCTGTGTGAGGCATGTGGCCAACTATCTCACAGGAAACAGTTCAGCAGTTACAGAGGTGACCAAATCGGAGCCCTGAAACATCAGAGCAGAGCAAGTGAATAGAAAGAGTTCATAGAACAGGCAAAAATGATATATGAACACTGACATGTTTGAATTTCATATAGTTTCCTTGTGTCATAAAATACCATGCTGCTTTTGAGATTTTTTTTCTACAAACATTTAACAATGTAGAAAAATTATTCTTAGTGTAGGGCTGTGTGAAAACTCAGGCCACATTTGGCCCATTTATGCAATGGTTGTGATGCATTGGCTTCTGCCCTAGAAAAAAGAGCAGAGACAGACAGAAACTTCCCCTGGTTCGGGCTCTCCCTGCACAGCTCCAGAGGCCAGCTCGTTTCCATCCTTAGCTTTTGTTCCTGTCTCACCAATAATCAAAGAAAAACATGCTCTTTCCTCTACCTTCCCTAAAGTGCCACAGAAGCTAAGTCCACCTTGAAACAATCTCAGTGACATAACGAAAGCATTTCTGGGGCTGGTGAGATGGCTCAGTGGTCTAAAGCACCTACTTGGAACAAGCTAAGCTTAGCAAAGCACAGGGACAGCGGTTCAATCCCCCAGCACCACATGCCAGCCAGCCCCGCCCCCTGGTGGGCTGAGCTAGCCACACACACACAAACTAAATAAATAAACAAATTAAAAAAAAATTTTTTTAAAAAAAAGCATTTCTGCAAAGAGAGACACACAGGCCGGGGCAGGCAGTCAGTTGCTTGTCTCCAGGGTTTGTGCCTTGAAGAAATGGCTTACACTGCTTTTCCCACTAACGTATCCTGGTGGCATTCCAGTAGCTATTGACACTCTTGACCCTGCAGTGTTTATTATGATCAGTATAATACATAAGAATATCGTACAATGCCAGTGGGAGGGAAGTATTTGATTTGAGGTCTCAAAATATTGTCATAGAGTATATTCTGCTAATTTTTCAGACTTCCATTGTTTGGGCAACTCTCAACCTAGTTTCTCATTCTTAAATTATGTCAAGAGTGAATCATTTCTCTTACATAATAAGTGCAAAGATTAAATGTTGAGCAAATTATGCATAAAGAGTTTTGCTGCTGCTTTCAACGATGTGTACACATGCTTTCGTGTACCCGTGAGTGGGAAAGTAGACTGTAGAGTTTACTGAAACTGGTAGTGTGCATTCACTCCCGGTTTTATCAAGACAACACTGCCCCCTGTTGGTCTTTGGAGGAACCAATTTCCCTCTTTAAACTTACACATTAAACTGAGCATTGGGTTAGCAGATTCAGTACAGGTTGTTTCATTTCTCACAGCCACTTAGCAAGGGCATTTTTCCAACAAGAGAGAGGCAGTCCATGTATCATGACCCATGGCAGAGTATGATAAGGAAGTCCAGCCAGAGTAGCTGTCATGCACACCAAAGTGGTTGCAGGAACCCAAGAGCCTCTGTGACTTGGGTAAGTGTGATGGTGAAGGGGAGAAATGTGACCCCTAGATTGGTTGCAAAGGGCAGGTGTCGGCTCAGCTAGCATGCCAAATTTTTCTTCCTCAGCTCCCCCATTCTGGTTTGTACCCCAAATCTTTGTGCCTGTGATTGCTCTATTAGAAAAGTCCCCTGCCCTCTAACTCACACATCACTCATCTTAGTTTCATAAACTCACTTATGAAATTAGACATTAATTACAAAGCTCAGTTCAAACATAAAAACTACTGAAAAGCGTTCTCCAACTGTCTTAGTTGCTTGTCTTACAAAAATTTCATTTTATCTTTCCTGTGGTACCTACCATTAATTTTTAACTATTTTATGTATATGCTCTATTAATTTTTCCTACTAAATGTGTGTGCTCCTGGGCCAGCGAGATAGCTCAGTGGACTAAGCACCTGCAGGCAAGTGTAGGGACTGGGGTTTGATCCGCGGTACCACATGCTGCACTGGCCCTAACCTCAGGCATGCTGAGCCAGCCACTGAGACCCAGTGTGGTGGCGCACACCTGTAATCCCAGTGCTGGGGAGGCTGAAAAACAGGAAGATCACTCTGAGTCTGAGCTGCATAGTTATACCCTGTACCAAATACATAAATTTAAAAGAAAGGAAATATTAAATGTGTGTGATCCTTAAAGAATGGGACCTTGCAAGCAGGTGCAGGGGCTGGGGGTTCAATCCCCAGGCCTGCCGTGCCTGCCCCCCACCATGGCACGCTGAGACAGCAATTGAGACTGGGCATGGTGGTGTGTGCCTGTAATCCCAGATCTTGGGAGGCTGTAAACAGGCAGAACACTATGACTCCAATCTAGTAGTGAGAGCCTGAACACCCTGTAGAACCTTCCCTGAAATATAAAAAAAAAAAAGAAAAAAAAAATGGGACCTTGTCTCTCTCAGTCTTAGGATGCTATAACAAATACCATCACATGCTGAATGGGCGGTTCAGTAGTCTTCAAAGAGTTTTGAAGCTACAAAATTCTTTTGGCTGTGACTAAAGCTGCTAAATCAAATCTTACAGTTTACTGAAACTTTATCACATTGAGGCGTTCTTGACAAATCAGCAAATCTCTCTGCTGCCCATCACCTATCAATGTCCCTTGTGTGTATGCCTGCCTGTGTCAAAGTACACTCCTTCTGGAAGCTTCCTTACTCTGCCCTGTCCGGGGCAGCCTGTGCATCTACTGGTTTACATTTGCCATAGGTCGATGTGCTTGAATGACCCCTTGGGCATCAGTTTGGACAAAGGTAGCAAATGAGTGTGGGCTGGTGGCTTAGGCAGCAGACACTGACTTCTCACAGCTTTGGGGACTGGGAGTTTGAGGTCAGCAGGCCAGCACAGTTGGGTTCTGATGAGGCCCCCCTTCTTCTGCTAATGTCCATCTTCTTCCTGAGTTGTTGTCAGGAGAAAATAAAGAGAGAGTAAGCAAGACCGTGGGCCTATGGTAACCCATCCTGTTCATGAGGGCTCCACCACAAAGCCCTACCTCCAACTGCTATCACAGGTGAATGAATGAGTAACCTGCCACTGATTTATGTTATTCCAGGGACATTTTTATCATCTGGTTTTTAGTCTGCTTCCAAGACTTTCTGTTTCTCTACATACTTCGTCCTCTGCCCATCTTATCTCCATCTCTCGGATCTTAACTATCCAATCAGTTTTCCTCTCTAGCTGTACACAGTCCCCTTATATCCTTATACATTCTTTGACGTTTATTCACCAGGTACAGAACAGTCATGGCATGACGTGAGAAACATCGCTTATAAGTTGAAAATGTTAACTCCATTTATTTTCTTTTCCAATTCCTAGATAGAGGAGCGAGCAGAATTTTTGAATAAATCCGTGCAGAAAAGGTAAATACGTTGGTTGTTCAGCTAACAATGACCAGCTGTGCATGGAACGATTCCTTTCTCCTATGTTTATGTACGTGTCTGTTTATTTAGCAGTGGTGTCAAATCAACTCATCAAGCTGCCGTGGTCTCCAAGATCGACAGCCGCCTGGAGCAATACACCAGTGCTATCGAGGTGAGCGCTGCCTTCCAAACCACAGCACAGGGAGCGGACACAGGTTCTGGCTACATGAAAGAACATAGAGATGCTGGGCTGGGGAGACAGCTTGGTGGCCTAAGCGCCTGTCTGGCAAGCACAAGGACCCAGGTTCGATCCCTGGTACCCCATGCCGTGTTGGCCCCAGAAGCCTGGGCATGCTGTGCTGGCCACCAAAACTGGGGGTGATTATGCCTGCAATTCCAGCACTGGGGAGGCTGAGACAGGAGGATCACTAGGAGTCTGAGCTACATAGTAAGACCCTGTATCAAATAAATAAATGAATAAACTATTTTTTAAAAAGAGCATAGAGATACTGAAGCCAGTAGTCACAGAAATGGTAGGATATGGGTGGTGCTTTCCTTACCTTCTTGTTTATAAATACTCATTATCAAGTTAAAGTAGTCGCATAAAGCAATATAAAGATGATTATAAAACTTAAGTTTAATTATCATCAATTGTCATCGAAATTGATTTATAAAAATTGATTGTCTTGTATGTGGAGGACCATAGCTTTGTGCTTCTATCTACTTCAACTTTTTTCCCCAGCCAACCGACCTGGGGGGTACTACTGTATTTGGAAATAGTGGGTATATCTAAATAGAAAAGCACTAAACGTGTCGGTGGCTTGATCAGTCTGTGTTTCTGGTTGGTTTGCCTTTGTGTAGATTTGGGGCTGTGACTCCAGGAGTCTTCTGCCTCAGAGCACCTGCAACCACATGCCTGTCTCAGTCTGTCTTTACTTCTTTCCTCTCCTTTGTGCTCTACAGTGTAGATGCCTGTAACTCACACATGAATTATAAGAAAGAATAAGAGAGGGCTACCTGCTAATTGCTGAAAGGAATAATCAAGGAGATCGATGTTACTAAAGTATAAGATGAAGTTTGGGGCCGGTCAGCTAGCTCAGCAGACTAAAGTGCCTGCTTAGGCAGAGCGCAGTGGCCGGGGTTCGATCCCTGGAGTGCCATGCTGGCCCCGCCCACGGGGCGCACTGAGAAAGCGATTGACGCTGAATGTGGCACACCTGTCATCCCAGCACTTGGGAGGCTGAAAACAAGAACATCGCTAGGAGTCCAATCTATGTAGTGAGATCCTTTAGACCCTGTAGACCCCGTAGACCTTGTCCTAAATTAAAAAAAAAAAAAAAAAAAAGATGAAGTTTGAATGACTATTTTCTTTCTTTTTTTTGGCGGAACCGGGGATTGAACTCAGGCCCTTGTGCTTGCCAGGGAAGCGCTTACTCCACTGAACCATCTCTCTGGCCCCTTGAATGGCTGTTTTCTATGGTGGGCAGGCCACAGCACACTCATCTTCAGGCCACAGCCTCTTATGGTACCACGCGGCCTGACTGACATCTTGACCAAAGGCAAAGGCCAGCATGCAGGAGCAGGAAAGACACCTGTGCCATTCTGGGTGTGCCTTTCATTACTGCTGGGGAGGTGCCTCAGATATGTGGGGAGGTGTCTCAGATGTGTGCCTTACTTGTTTCAATGCGCCATCTCCTCTCAGGGTACAGTTCTCGTGCAGCGGCACCTCCATTTTTCAGTCAGGACCTTTGCACATACCGTGGCCTCTGCACAGAATGTAGTTGTTTTCTGTGTTCCCTTTACCACATCCAGTCTTCTGTAAGATCTGGGTTTCCGTGTCACTCCTTGGGACTGGCCTGCTTTAACTCCCACACCAAGTTTTATTATTCACGTAATACCTGCTCTCATGCCAGGTTCTGTAGTACTCCATTGTGTTTTATAGTGCTTAACTCAGTGGGAAATAAACAGCTGGGTAGCTAGTCATGGTTTTCCCTCCTGTTATAGTAGAAGAACACATTACCTTGGTTTTTGTTTGTTTTGTTTTTGTGGCCAGCTCAGCCCACCCTGGGGGCACAGCTGCTGCTGCATGTGGTGCCAGGGATCGAACCGCAGTCCCTGCGCTTGCCTAAGCCTGCCTAAGCAGGTGCTTTAGACCACTGAGCTATCTTGCCAGCCCAACACTACCTTGTTTTGCCTGCCACCACACCCAAAGCCTAGCAGAGCACCTTGCCAGAGTGGGCACATAGGATGTAGCTATTGAAGAAGGGATGTGAGCCATCTCCCTACCAACGCATAGCATATTTCACTTGCAAAAGAGCCTCGGATCTTGCTCTGGATGCTTTCCGTTGAGGGTCATCAATCCTCAGAGTGCAGTGTTTCAACAGAGATTGTGATGCTTGTTAAGGATATTCACGTAACGAAATTTGAAGGGATCCTGTTGAGGAAGACCAGCTTCGCTGTAACTTTATGAGGACAAACTGCCGAGCAGTGATCCTAAAGATACTGAACACATTGCAGGGAACGAAAACTGCAAAGCCGACCAAGCCAGCAGCCTCGAATCTTCCCGTCCCTGCTGAAGGCGTGCGCAGTATCAAGAGCATGTGGGAGAAGGGGAATGTGTTCTCATCCCCCGCTGCGTCAGGCACACCAAATAAGGTGAGCGTGCAGCTTTTAATCCTTTAAATTGGAGGAGTAGAACTGTTTCCTAGGTCCCTTTCAGAATCAGCCTTGTTTGTAGTAAAAGCAACAAAGTGGTGCAGTCTGTGCTTCGTTTTGCAGTGACCATAAAGGCAAGCTCGGAGAGAATGCGTTCATGAGGGTGCCCTGTGTACTCGGGCCATGGAACTGTAAAGAAAATGCCTGAGATTACTGTCAACCCTTAGGATGGGGTGGGGGTCGCATGTGGAATAAAGCCAGATATTCCTTTAATAACAAGTTTTAAATGTTGTGATTATTTGAAATAATAATTACTCAAAAAAAAAACCTTGATATTCAAAAATTGCTTTGTTTTGCATTTTGAGGGCAAATATTTTTTATTAGTATATGTTTGCTAAGCATCATGAGTGTATGAATATATTTGTTGCGGGGCGAAGTACACTTCTTACCGCATCTTGGTCCTTAGGGTTGCTGTATAGGTCCCTTCCCTGGTGAAGTTTGCGGCTTTCCTTAATACTTAAGACAATTGGCTCTTTTAGGAAACTGCTGGCCTGAAGGTGGGAGTTTCCAGCCGCATCAATGAGTGGCTGACCAAAACCCCAGATGGGAACAAGTCGCCTGCTCCCAAACCTGCTGTAAGTAGCTTCGGGTTTTTCTGAGTTTTTTTGAGCTCTCAGCTTTCAGCAGCCAAAGAAAACAAGCATTTGGTCCGCTTACCTAAGGGAAACGGGGCTCTTGCCATCCATCCACCTGCGCCGCTGCATGCAAAGCAGCGTGCCAACACATCCGGGGCCTGAGCAGCCGCACCACGCACCCCAATTACCCAGAGGGTAACGGGAACCAGGTCACTGCCCCTCTGCCTTGACTGAAGGGAGGACTTAGCTTAAATCAGGCGGATCAAAGTCAGACCCTTTACTGGTCTATTTCTCTAGCTTCTATTTTATAAATTACAGATAGGAATTTGAAAATGAAATGTCATTTACTTTGGCTACTTCACTATATAAGCACCCTTAAACTTATCCCTGCAAGAATGTGTATGTTAGCTGTTTTGAACAATATTTTCTAATTTACTTAATTTCTGTAACCTGGCACAAAAATGCAGTTCTTAAGTATTTACTGAAATAATTGCTATGGCATTCTTATCAACATTTGCAAAGGAAAGCCATAAAAAATTTGGTAACTTGAAAATTTGGTTATGGATGTTGATTTTCAAAATCCAAAATTTTCCTATTTGTTTGGTGTAGCTATATTACTGAAAAAATATTCTTTCAATATTTTCATTGACTATATATGATAATTGCCTTGGATTTATCGATATGATTTTTAAAACCTTGACTGTTTCTCACTGTATAGAGTTAAGTTCTCTCTGTTAAGTTGGCTTTTGTTGATGCCCAAGGGAGCTGTAAATTTGACTTGCTAGGTCCTACAACCTACTAGAAAAGATTTTCCAAATTCTGGGCCTCGGAGAGATTGTGGCATCCACAGGCTCCAGTTATAATCTCCCAAGTTACCAATTGCTGTCACTGTCCAAGCTACACAGAAAAAAGAACACTGTAAATGTTTGTATGACACCATATGCTGCCTTTTGAGCTGTTTAATCATTATTCACCCTGAGATTCAATATTTTTTTTTTTGCTTTCACAGTAGATACAGGAAAAGGGGTACCATACAAAGAGATAATCAAGGTCAGAGATCCTTTCTACATGCTGCCTTTTAGTGCCTCCAGGATCCCCAACACTCATATTACAGGAAAAGTTGAAATTATTGAAATAAATGAATGAACTATGGTAGTTGTAAAATCATTCTTCTAGACCGGTGATCAGTAAGTGTTTTCAATGATGGGTCCCTTTGAAAATCTCAGGAAATACAACTAAGTCCCTCTCCCCAACAAAATACATATAATACAAGTTCAAGAAATCATAGAACTGGCACGATAGCACATGCCTTTAACCCTGACTACTCAGGAAGCTGAGAAAGGAAGATTTTAAGTATGAGGCAAGCAAAGGCAATTTAGGGAGACCTAGTATCAAAGACAAAAAAATCCTACGGATCCCCTACAGAGCTCACAAGACAGGAAGGGTAAGGAATGAATGATAAGTATTCCCCCCTTGAATATGGCACATTGCTAGAAGAAATGATAATTTTTATGATTTGTTTGATCTCTGTACAAACTGTACTGATAAATTTGGTCCAGGGCTTACTCCTTACTCTTTTATAGCTTTTAAACTGATAAACTTAGGGCTGGCCAAATAGCTCAGCAGATTAAAGTGCCTGCAAGCAGGCAGAAGGGCCGGGGATTCGATCCCCTCACCTGCCAGTGCAGGCCCCGCCTCCGGGACTCACTGAGAGGACACTTGAGACTGGGTGTGGTGGTGCGCACCTGTAATCCCAGCTCTTGGGAGGCTATAAACAGGTGGATCACTATGAGTCCAATCTAATAGTGAGACCCTGAACACTTTGTAGACCCTTCCCTAAAATACAAAAAAATAATAATGATAAAATAAACTGATAAGCTTACCATCATCTTTATGTCATCCTAATGGAAATATTTAAAATCTTAAATTCAATAATTATTACAATAAATATAATCTACCAAAATTCTCACATCATAAATGATAACATTTTCTGGAGTTATTAATGGTCTCCTAAAAACTGGTATGACAATAAAATACTGTAGGTAATTTATAAAATCATGACCTGTTTTTCCTCCTGTTTAGCATATAATTTGGTTGACTACCTTCTAAAAAAGGGAAAGGAAAAGGAAAGAATATGGCAATTAGGACTGGGGAGATAACTCAGCGGCATAAGCACCTGCCTGGCAAGTACAAGGTCCTGAGTTTGATCCCTGGTACTGAAGGGAAAAAAAAAAAAAAAAAGAATATGGCAATTAACATAGATTTTAAGGGTCTCTTTTTTTACCATCAGATTTTGTGGACTTGGCATGGCTTCCTGAGTGTAGGTCAGATTAGAAGAAAGCAGTATGCCATTGAAGTCACAGATCAAATGCTAGTTCACATATATTCTTAGAAAGCCACTGTGAAGTTCTCTGCACATTCCAGTAGTGAGAGTAGCCTGTATTTTAGACCTAGCAACATGCAAATCTGTTTGGGAAAAGATGTGAGTTGGAGCCCAGCCAGGCAGATGGGTGATTCATCCCAAGGGTCCAGCAGCAAAGAGCTGAAGTTTCAGCATTGTAGAAGTGGCTGGCAGGCTCCTGAAGATGCATAAAGATTCGTAGGCAAGGAGTCTAAGGATGGGAGGTAGAAAGTCGGCCACGTGAGGGTCTTGGCTCATCCGCAGGGTCTCGCACTGGTACCCTGCAGCTAAGATCTGTGCAGCTTGGCCCACATTACTGCGCTTCATCTTTCAAAAATTTAATTTGAAATCATTTTTGGAGGATGGAAGGATGCATTCTTCAAATCCAAGATTCCCATTATCTGTTTTTCTCACCCCAAGCCTCTTCAGGCCTGTGTGTCTCCAATACGGTGCTGCATGGAAGGCATCCCAGCTTCACTCCCTGGTCAGAGTGAGGGCTAGAATGCCAGAGATTTGCCTAAAACATCAGCAAATGGGAGGGTCCCCAAGATGCCTTCTGACTTGGGATCAGAAACACTTTATCCTCAACTTACTGCTTGTCTTCCCGACATGAGTGGACAAAAGCTTAAGTTTGCATTTGCAGAGTTATGGCATGGAGCCATGCGAAATAAATCAGAGAGAAGTTTATTCAACAATCACTCCTCACTCATTGGAATCCTAAGAAAGGAGAAAAGACTAATTCATGGGACTTACAGGGTTGAATTCTAAAACTCAAGAAAGAGAAAAACCATCCTCTTCTAGTAGCTAAGTGATCATTTTCACAGATGCTAAGAATCAAGTGCCCAAAATGGCTTGTCAAACCAATATTATTTGGACTATTTAAAAGTTAATATTGATCTGCACTGGGATTTCTTACTGAGACGTTTAAGCTATTTGTGGGGAGAATGTGTAGGGTTTCGGTATGACTTTGTAACTGGAAATCAATGCTGAGTATGTCCGTTTTAGCTGGCTTGCCTTTGTGTGTGTGTGTGTGTGTGTGTGTGTTGTGTGTTTGTGTGTGTGTGTGTGTCTAAACTACATGTCAAATAGCAATTAAAAGCTAATTTGTCTTTCTTTTTGTTTAAAAAACCCCACAATATCTTTCTCAGCTGGCTTCTCTTCTTCACTCTTTGGTCTCTGACTGATTGGAAACCTGCTTCTCCTGCCTTCATTTCTCCCTCTTCTTCAGGAGTGGGTCTTTCTCTAAAATGTAGTCTAGTCAGGTAATTCTATTTATATTTCTCATTCAATTTAAAGATGTTACTGTTTTCTGAAAACCAGCCCTTTAAACTCCTTAAGTGATCTCAAAAAGATTCATCAGTAGAATTTCAGAGACATCCAACCCATTTTCTTAAGCAGAAGAACATTCACGTAGAAGAAAAATTATCGGTCTCCTACAAGTCAAATAAATAAAATGATTGTATCCACTTTCTAGAACTCCATCAGCCTGTTCCTAATTATAGTTTCCATAATTGTAAAACAATCTTCTAGACAATTTGGCAACTTTCACCTAAATTGGCAAACTAAGTGGAATTTTTTTTTTAAGTCTGATTTGTTGCCTCATGTTTCCAAACTAAATAGGTATAACTCTCTAATAGAATATCGAGAATTCATGCCACAGAGGAAATCCAAAATCTCGGTAAGATTAAGGCACATCTGAAATGCTTCAACATTCAGTGCTGAAAATGCTTAGCAGTGCATTTCCAGGGTGGAAGTCTCAATGCTGCGGATTAGAAATATGTTCACTTAGACTGGTGTCTGTGCATAAATGCGATTGCTAGTAGCTTTACTTTTCTAAATGAGAAAAGAGTTTGCCAAAACACACAGCACTATTTCAGTAAAACACATTTATTTTCTACACACCACCTTTTGCCAAGTACTAATATAAGCAAATGCTGGAGGAAAAGTAAATGGAAACAGAAATTTGGATCCTCCTCCAAAAGAAATTAGTTATGAGCTAGTAAATAAAGATTCAAATCGATAGACCATATTTTAGCATTTCCTTCCCAAGATTCTCACGTGTGCCAACATACGTCATCAACCCTGGGCTCCTCTTAGCAGTAGAATCTGTGATAAATGTTTGTTTCTGTGGAGTAGTTTCCGCTGACCCACTGCTGAATTACCCACTAGCCTGCAGGAAACGCAAAATGATTTTAAGATGAGGAGAGTATGGTTAGAGAAACCTCTTTGTTTCGGCTGGCTAGACACTAAGCCAGTGATCCCAGAGCAGAAGAGGTAAAGAAACCATGATGGAGAGACAAGGGGAGAGAGAGGCAACCAATAAAGAATGCATCATTCACGAGGTCACCATGTGGGCTGTTAAGACCTAATCCGTCTGTGAAGCCCAGTACAGCACACATCCCTGGGTCAAGCCTCCCTGAGATCTGAGGGAGTCTGGGAGATGTGTGCACTAGTGCTCCCCAGGCAGTGGCTGGACTGCTGCTCCTGGGGTACAGACTCTGCCCCTCTAGCTGCCTCCTGGGCAGGCAAAGTGGCATGTAGAGCCTGAGAAATGTCTCAGGCAGGAAACGCAGGGTGGGCCCTTAGCTAGGAGAGACTGAAAGGAAGCTGGGCTACAAGGGGTGAGATGTTTTTAAGCCTCCGGGGAATCATTCACCTCCAAGAATGTAGAAAATCGCTGAGTATGATGGGCCACACCTATAGCCCCAGCATTCTAGGAAGCTGAGGTAGGAGGATCCCAAATTAGAGCCCATTCTGAGCAATATAGCAAGACCCTGTGTCAAAATTTAAAAAATAAATAAATAAATAAATAAATAAGAAAAGATATAGTTCAGTGTGAAGGCTCTGGTTTTAACCCCCAGTACTACAAAAAACCAAACCAAACCAAAAAAAGTTAAAAAATAAGCTACATTACTTTCAATATTTATACTCTAGTTTTACCATTCAGTAAATAGCAAATCTTTGGTGAAGGACCAGGACCCCGCTGCTATCTGTAGCTCCAGCACATTCTCATATCCCAGTATAGGCCAAGACGTGTAACGTCAAATAGCAGCCGATGGTCCTTTCAGTCCCACCCACTCAGATTGCTGGGGTGAAGTATATTAAACAACAGACTGACCCAAACAGATGAAGTCAATGTGTTGATTCATTTAAATCTGGAAAATGGTCCCCTGTCCATTCTGTCTGCTTTCTCTTCCGTAGGACTTGAGGCCGGGAGATGTATCTGGCAAGCGGAACCTTTGGGAAAAGCAGTCTGTGGATAAGGTCACTTCCCCCGCTAAGGTAACCTACTGGGAGAACTCGTATTTCAGAGATCTATTTTCTAATGAATCCTGCAGTTTAGTGTCCTGGGGTCAGATGAGAAATCTGCACCTCGTGACCACCCATTTCTAAAAGATCCAGAGTCCAGTGAGGGGAAGAGCCTTTGGCACTATAGGGTGTCAGTCACACAGCATCCATAACCCAAGCTCATGGAATGGCGCCCAGGAAGACATTCTAGATATACCACAGTGGTCGGGAGGTTGGCAGAGCTCCATGGGACAACCACACAATCTATTTCTTTGTAAGGTCCGGGCTTGGCACCACAGTCATTCAGAGAAAGCAGATCACTTAGAGGAAAATACCTGTCTCCCTGAGTGGTTCCCAAGCTGCTTTCTGGAGCCATTCTAGGAGACTTTGCCAGCAGCCTCAGACTCAAGATTCTTATGACAAAAAAACTAAGACTCCTAAGTAAAGCAGAATTTGCTACTTATGAGAGCTAGTGGCTGAGAGTGCTCTGATTGCTTTTACTCTTTGTCTTGTGGGCAGGAGATGTACTCAGTCTTCAGAAAGGAGCTTTGGACAATACCTGAGGGCTGCTGGGGCTACAAATGGGACCCCCTTGCTGTAAAGGAACTTATTTAACTCCTAACCAGAGCCCTTCCCTGTTTCAAGAAAGAGACCTTGTCTTCTCCTTTAATAAAGAAAAATTAAAAAGAGAAATCAGAGGCCAGCAATAAGATTAGAACTGTCTATCTGCTTGTGGGTTGGTGCAGAACTCCAGCAACTGAATCCTTCTTAAGCTAACTCAGGACTAGAAATCACATCAAAGACAACTAAAGCATCACTGGTACCAGCTGAAATGAGAGAAACACTTCCCTTTTCCTACTTCCACAAGCTCTTAAAGCTGGCACCTAAGTATACTACTTCATTGTCTCTATTAGTCATACGTGGCCTTTTCATTCCATTAAATCCTCTGGCCCAGACTCTCTATCTAAAGTGACTCTTAAGTAAGTCCAGTTTTCCAGATGAGTTCTAAATATCATAAAATTACCAATACAAACTGACCACTACAAACTACTAACACTAAAGGAGTAGTAAGTGCTCTTGGCACTGCCGTTCCTCATTGGGTCTCCAGGTAGTACGTGAGGGGTAGTAGCATTGTCCCCATTTTATAGCTGCAGAACATGAGGCACTGAGGGATTATAACTTTCCTAAAGATGCACAGCAAATAGTAAGACCTGGACTGACTCTCAAGCAGTCTGATTTGATTCCACATTCTTAACCATTATACATAACACTTTCTTTTGAAACTGTGTTTTTAGCAAAAAATGTAAAGGTTTTCTTTTCTTTTTTTTTTTTAAGTTCCTTGCATAATTTTCTACTGGTGGCAAGAGAGAAGATAAATTTTTGTTTTTTTAAGCAGAAAATGAATTTATTGGCCCAAATTTTGATGACACCTCTGACACAGACATCTGACCTTTTAAGAGAGGCAATCCCAGTGTGCATACAGCCTCCCTTCTGAGCCAGGGATGCCAGCTGGAACTGGCAAGATGGACTTTCCTCAGAGTCCATCTTCACAGATGGAGTCCTTTGGGACACATTCCTTAGAGCCAGAGCTCTGTAAAGTGGAGCCAGAGGATCTGGAATGGCGGGACTCTGAGGAAAGCATTTACACAATTCAACACGAATGCCTCTCCCTGGAATTGTGCCACAGGGTGGCATGCAGCAGCAGGGGACTGAGTTTTCACACACAGAACTGCCCCATGCCTGTGAACTCCTACAGCAGCGATACTAACAGAACCAACCATCAGGCAAAGACTGACTACACATGCAGCACATTAGGTAACTGTGCTCCAAAAGGCCAAGCTCAGTGTTCGTCATGCAGTTGTTCCTTTGAAATCAAAATGCACAGCACATTGGCAGACATGAATTCACAAAGCTTTAATATCTGCTTATCATACCCCAGCAAGGATGCTTAGCAGCTAGATGAGAGGGAACAGGGATGGAATCAAAATAGGACTGTGGGTCAGGGAAATCTGAGCCAGAGGTGTAAGAACAGGAGTGAGAAAACACACAATGCTAACGGGGGAAATGGGAGAAACCCAACCCTAAATGCATCCTCCTCCACTACTGTATATGCACATGGCCTGACTAAGCTGGCCAGTTGTGTGTGCCTACTCCACTCTGCTATAGAAACTCCTGGCCCTTACAGTGGAGCTTCAAAAAAAAGCTCTCCTTGACTCTGAGTGCCATGACCAGAGCCTAAGATCAAGGTTTAAAAAAAGAAACATAAAGAAGAAAGAAGAAGGCGGGGGAGTCCACAGAATAAAGCATAGAATGGACGATCAAATTTGAATAGAATGCCAACTGTAATCCCCTTTCGTAAATATTAATTCCTACCATGCTGTAATTCTTTTTTTCTGACACAGACCATCTGGCTGGAACACTGCAGGCTGCCAATTTAAAGTTCTTTTCTCTTAGCAGGTTTGAAGCAGTTTCAGAAAAACCCAAGCTCAAGACGCCAGACCAGCTCAGTTGTAGAGGGCTAATTGCTCTGTTTTATATTTATGTTGATTTACTAAATTCGGTTCATTTTCTTTTGTTTTTCAATATCCCGGTAAACCCATGTATATGATCACTATATTTAATAGCCACATCTAGAGATATTCATGGTCAACTTTGCACAGGAACCTGTTTCGTAAGAAACCCATGCTGTGAAATAGACTTTTCTACTGCTCATCGGAACTCCTTGTCGGAACAGATATCAACCACAGTGGAAGTCAACAAAAGGAGATTCAACATTAAGATTGCCTGAGGAATGTGTGCAGTATCTACAAAAGTGAACCGTAGTATTTTTTAAAAATAAATTCATACAGAAGTGACATTGTTTCTGCACTTTAGAATAAAGCATGGAAGAAATTATCTAAAGTAGGCAATTATAATTGTTTCTGAAATAACCCATATCAGATTTGATATACAGCAATAATGATTGTCTTTTTTAAAAAAGAAGATGTACTAAGGTATTACTTTTTTCATGCTGATTCATATCTAAATTGGATTATTATTTTAGCTGACAGTGGTACTGATTTTTTTAAGTTGGTTGCTTTGTGGATTTCTATGATAGTGATAGTAGCCTGAACCACATTTTAGATTATCCAGTTATGTATGTATGTGCATACGTGTATACAAACACACTAATGGTAGAATGCTTTTCCATGTGCTAGACTATTATATTTAGTAGTATGTCCTTGTAACTCGCCAATATCACAGCTTTTTAAAAAATAAAAATCACAATATTATATTAATATTTCATATTTGCCAGTAGAAACATGGCAGATAGGTTATCAATATGTTTTCAATGCCCAATGACCTGTAATGAAAAGTATTGCAACAAAGAAGGATTAAAAATGTCAAAAATGAGTTGAAACTTCCTATAACATAATATTTAGTCTATAACTAAAGGCAATCTTCAAGTCCAGTGTGAGTGGTATGAAATCTACCATCCAAATCAAGCTCAAAGCCTGCTTATTTGTAACAAAAAGGTTCGTAGTAAGTTGACCTACATGATAACTAAGGTCTCTTTCTTCACCAAAATGTAAAGGCATGAATTTCTGTGATGATATTACACATACTAGAATTCCACATAGAGGTCTAAGCAAAGGCTGACTCTGGATCGTGTCTAGATGCAAATGAGTGAATGAAAGCCAATATTGAAGAGGCGTGACAGTATTTCCATCTTTATACACTCTGAAACATTTTTTTAAATTAAACTTTGCTTCTTTTCTTAGTCATTGGTACTTTCAGTGTATTGAAATTTCAAAAAATTGATATATGTTAATTTTACTAGTCTTGCTTTTTCCCCAAGAGTCATTATCGACTTACTATTTTTGCACACACACAATCTAGACATCAGATCATGTTTTAACCTGCAAGTCTTTATTGTCCAAAATACATGAAGGAGGACTCCAGATTATCAGCAAAATGTCCCAGGATAGATGACACACACAGTCTCAGACATGAACTAATACCTCATTTATCAAAAATTGCCTTTGTCTCAATTCCTGCCACAATGACAAAAACCTCTCAAATAACTGTCTTCTGAAAAACATATTTTCCCAGAAAAGTCAACCAGGGAAAAACTGGCTTGAGGAATAGCCACTGCCTTCCAAAACCTGTTTCTTGTTAATCAGGAAAAGGTAGTGTAATCCCCTTTTAGCAAACCTGGGCCAAAGAAAGATAAGCCGTCAAGATTGCACACACATTGCCAGCTACCCATGACAGAGTAGACACAAGTCTATGACAAGATAAACTAGGATTTACATGAAGCACCTGTGTAAGTGACTGCTGTCATTGCAGTGAGATGGATCAATCACATTATTGATGAGGAGAGGAGATTGCTTTATTGAGCTTTTGAATCAGAGCATCTCCTGGTCACTATCACATATTTCTCTAGAAAGTCTGAAGTTGAGAAGAGAATGTAATGATCCTGACTTTTATTCCAATATTTGAATGGAATAAATTTAGGGTAGAATTCTGTTGTTTGGATTTAATCTTTTTAAAAGCAAGTTCCTCATTACAATGTTCTGTTACCTTTAAGAGCTCAAGCTGTAAGTCGACTAGCATGTTCTGTGAATCTGCCATTCCTAAAAATGCTATAAACACTTGATAATTTTCACTGATAATTGATGGCTGCAATAAAATATATTGTGAAAATGCTCCACAATAAATGGAATTTCTCCAAATGTTATTGCTTCCTGTATTTTATGTACTATGCAGATGATATGCAAAATGTATAGTTCATGTTGGGTGTTGGTTTCACTCTTTAAAGAAGAGAAGCTTTTTTTTTTTTCAGAACCAAGGACTGAACTCAGGCCCTTGCACTTGCCAGGCAAGTGCTTATTCAACTGAGCTATCTCCCCAGCCCTCAGAAGCATTTTCTTATGTTTAAATGCTTCTGAGCTTTTAAAAAAATAGTCAAAATTTCTGTGATATGAGCAACAGACTACATGTATACAGAAAAAATAGAAGAGAAATTTTCAAAAGTCTTCTTAATCCAGTCATTCAGTCATCTTGGTGAATGACCATAATCCCAGCACTCTGGTAGACTGAGATAGGAGGACCTGTTCTGGTCAAGCCTATTCTGGGCAATTTGACAATTTAGTGGAACACTGTCTCAAAGTAAAAAATAATAATAATAATTTTAAAGGCTGGGGATGTAGCTCAGTGCAAAGACTCTGAGTTCAATCCTCAGAACTGAAAAAAATTTTTTTTCTAAAATATAAATCTATAAAATATTCTTTCATCTTCTTTTCTCATTCTTTATAGTCACATATCACCTCTCTCACTCCTAAAATGGACTGTGCTAGCTTATCAAAAATAGCATCTGTCATAGTAGAAATAGTCAATAACCAAATACCACTCATGTATACAATATTTATTACTTTCCAAGATCTGGTGATTGTAGTTGTATACAAAAATACATTCTCATAGTAATAGTGCATATTTTTGCAACATTAATTAGTATGAAATCTAAGCTCATAAAATTGATGGATTTCGGTTGTAAGAACCCAATATTTTTATAGCTATGTCCTAACAAAAAGAATGATGAGCCTGGACAACAGAATAGTTGTTCTCACAAATAATTTATAAAGTTAAGCAATGAATGCAATTGGTATTACTCGTACCAAAATGATAAGATAGAGCAAATGAAAATAAATTGTATGCCATATATCTAAAGGATATGAGCCTGAGAACATAACACTGTAGTCTCTTGTGTGATGTGGGAACAGGTTTTTACTGTAGATTTTTCCTGCTCTTACTTGAATGTGTACTGCATGTGGAAGAATGGAAAAGCAAAAAGATCTTGCCTAAATGCCTGTTCCACCATAGAAAGGAACATAATCTAATAAGGTCTAGATCTGAATTCAATCCCTGTTTAGGTCAATCATGTCCCAACATTCTATGTCTTTACCAATGTTTTCCTTTGTTTTAGTACTAAAAAAGAAATATGAAAAAAATTCATTACGATTATAGATGTGTCTATTATTCCTTATAATTCTGTTAATTGCTTTCTATATTTTTCAAGGGGTATTTTAAGATCATTAAAATCTCGAGTCACTATATTTTCCTAAGGAATTGAATATTGTCATTGTGAAGTGATTATTTGTAGTAAAAATTTCACCTTAAACCTTATTTTTTCTATTATCAACGCTACAATATCCATCTTTCAGTTAGTACTGGCATTATATAAATTTATCTTTCTTCAATTTTTATATATCTTTTGGTTTTAGATGTGCCTTTGAGAATCCTTTTTTAAAGGCAGGCATGGGAGTTCATGCCCATAATGCCATCACACTGGGAGCCACAAGCAAAAGAACTGCAAGTTTTAGCCCAGCCTGGGAAACTTGGCAATTGAGTGGGATCCTGCCTCAAAATAGAAAGTTTAAAAAGAGCCAAGTATGTATCTTAACGAAAATCCCACAATAAATTCTATTTATTGTGTTCAATCCCCAATACTGCCAAACATAAATACATACGTACATATGTACATACATACATACTACAACTTGAGTTTGGCATTTTTCCATTTATCTGACCATCTCTGTGTTTTAATTGGAGGATTTAGTCCATTTACAGTTAATGCAGTTCCTGACACTTTTGCATTTAAATAGCATCTTAGCCATATACCACCTGTACTAAGTCATTTTTGTTCCCCTATTTAAATTACTGATCCTTCTGCTTTGAAACACCCTGACCTGCAAGAAGCAATCAGGAAGCTGAGATTCGCTTTTGCAATATAATGGGGCTAGAGGGAGAAAATGTCAGAATCTTCTTTCAAGAATGATAACTTAGTAAACTACTTTCAATTTGTGACTGGGTTTCCAAAAAGCAGCCTCCTAAAAGTAAGAGTGAGTTTGAAGGGCAACCATGAAGAGTGAACTGTCTCTTTTTCACCTGATCTTAAGATTGTCTCCTGGTTTCACCCCAAGGAATAAAGCTATATTACTCTAGGAAGGTGATCCATGATAAAGATGAACAATTAGAAAATATTTTTGAGTAACAGTTTAAGAACTTAAGAGATAGAATATCACAAGGCCCAAGAAAACATTGTCAAAGAATTACATAATAATGTCAGCGGTTAGAAGGAAGAGACAATACCTCATTCTGGAGTCATCCATTTAAACATTCCTTTATTTTCTGCACATAGAGAAGAGTGCACAGAACACATTTTGGCAGGGTAAGTGATAAGTCAATGATTTTTCATGTGTATTTCAATTTGTAAACTCTTTTAAATCCACTGCTCATGAATTTTGTAGTAAAGTTTCTAGAATTCTAAAAAGTTGATATGTCTCGTGGCACTTTGTGTTTCCAGGTTTTTAGAGTGAGCGTGAGTTCATCCCTAAAAAACTTAACCTCCTGCTTCACTTTAACTTGGATTCAGTAGCAGAATTTTGTTGTGGCATGTCTTTCATGGATTCTGGCTATCTTGAAATATGATTTCAAAAATATATTCCAATAAAGTAGATTTTTGAAGGCTCAGATTGTCATTTCTACCTAGCTAAGAGTTCTTCACTAAATAACAGCTTATCAAATATGCTCACATTATGCAAAAAAGACCATAACCATACAGAAGGCAATGTCAGCCTCTTAACTAGTTTTCAACCTTACCTAAAAGTGTTCTTAGGATAAAGCTAAACAGGCTTTTCTTAGAATAAATGCCATCTTTTGTATGTCTAGCACCTGCCCACATTAATAACAGGTACATGTATGCCATTCAATCCTGAATTCACTAGGGTTTCTCAATCCCTGGTCAACAACAGGATCAACGCTGGGCCTCATCAGTTATGCAAAGATGCAGGTTCAGCTCCTAAGAGAGGCAGACTCAGTAGGTGTAGGATTGAGTTTATAAAACTGCTTTACTCCTCAAAGGGAAAATGCAAATGCTCATATGAGAGTTTGCCTTTCCAGAAGGCCTGAGAGCATGCAGTTATAGCAGCTGTTTTGGAGATACTCTGAGAAACAAGATCTGTCTCTCTCTCTCTCTCAATGCTCACTCAATGCTCACTCAATGCTCACTAGAGAATGTGCGTTTCAAAAGTTCTTACCAAAAACAACAGAATGAGGATACTTACTGTAACCTAACCCTTTGTGTCAACTGTCTTCTTCACAACAATTCTAAAGTTCTCACCAAAAACAACAAAATGAGAATATTTACCATGATGTAACACTCTGTGTATCAACTGTCTTCTTCACAACAACCCTAACAGACCACCATAACTTACCCAAGGCCATACTGGGTCCAAGTCCACTCTTGATTTTCTGTACCAGTGGCTCCTCAGGATACCTGGGGAGCTCATCTCACTCCAGTGTTTCTGACTCTATAGGTCTGGGTGGGTCCTGAGACCCTATCTTCTAATAAATTCTTACCTGATGCTAGTGTGAAAGTGGAAGTGCCGTGGCCTGGGAGAGACAAGCTCTGACCTGCATCTTCACATCACATGAATGCATAGGTGTAATCCTTCATATCACCCGTAAGTGCTTCAAACTCTGCATATTGTTCACTCATTCACTCTTCAGAATAACCTTAGATAGGTACTGCTGGGGGGGGGGAAGAAACAGAATCATAAGCTCAGTGGGACAGGTTTATTTCAGAACAAAACTGAGAGGAACCACTCTGGCATTGAGACCAGAATGGATCCCCTTCTATAGGCTAATGGGGTCTTTCATAGGGTCAGGTGGGTGAGTTTAGTGAGAGGGGGGTTGTGGCTATCTGCCAAGGATGCTTGGCCAAGGATTAGGCTTGGGAATATGTAGGGAATAGTGGTTGCAATCAACAGCAAGGCTGAGGGCTGAGGAGATAGCTTGTCAGTGTAAGCACCTGCCTGGCAAGCACAAGGTCCTGAGTTTGATCCCCAGTACAAAAAAAAAACAGAAGAAGAAGAAGGCCTGATCATGATATCAGTTGCTATGTGTAGGGTCTCTCAGTGGTCCCCCAGGAGAAAACAGCAGGTGATTTAGAAAACAAAGACAAAAGGTAATAGCTGGCGTCAAGTGGAGGCCTGTGCCTGATTGACCCCTTGAACAACAGTAGGGGAGTTTATTTATGCCTTTTCAAAATAAGTATCATGAGACACAAGGTTGCCCAGCAACTAATGGCTGAAATTGCCCAGTCAGGGTGATCTTTTTCAAGACTGAGGTAGTCTGACTGCTTTTGTCACTGTAGCCTTTTCCTACCCTCACATATATGATCAACTTCCAGTTTCAGCTGCTTCCAACAGCTACCAGTAGCAGGGCTGGATAATTACTTGAGTCAGTGAGTACCACTGTAGGAGTCAGGGGGTTGATTGATGCCATTGAGCCTAGGATGACGTCAGTCAGATTCCTTCAGGTACAACATTATTATCCATGATTTACTAGTAAGTTAACAAATGCACCTTAAAAATTTACCATTTTCATACAGCTGTTAAGTGGCAGTGTACCTAATGCCCAGCAGTCAGCTCTTGAGCTCCTACACTTAACCACTATGTGCCCCATTCTGTCACAGGGATCATTGCTTAGGAGAGTGACTTGAAGAGAGTCCCTTTTACAGAGGCTGGTGGTAGTCACTGTTCTGCTCTTGAAGTCCACAGAAAGCACAAGAATACCATATTGCTGGTGACTTGGCCAATTTACAGAGAACTCTGCCCTTTAGATACCCCAGCCCCATCTGCACCCTGTGTTAGGGGTGCAGATCCAGAATCTACAAAGAAGAAGGGATGAATGAGTGCACAGAGAAAACCTCAAACTTCCTCTCAATCCCCAAGTCACCAGAGCTCGAAAGAAATCTAGGCTGTTCTAAGACGTGGGGAGGAGGGCTTCGAATCAAGTTTGAACCTGAAATTAAAATGAATTTCTCAATACTGAATCTAAATATCAAATACTTGAATGAAATCAAAAATACTGAAATGAAACTGTTGTAGCTGGCCAAATTAGCTGAAATGTTATGGAATGTGATCCAAATACCCTCTGGAGGTGGGTGGGGAACAACCCTTCACCATTGCACTGGGTTAGGATGGGAGATCATGTTCACACTGAGCCTGCATGCTCTTTGGAGTGACTGATACTGTTATTTGTTGAGCAGAGAGGAGACATTCTTATGACAGTACTTCATTTTCAGGTACTAAGGGGAATTACTGCTTCCTGTTGTCCCCAAATACAAATAATATGAATGATACAAAATCAGGAGTGGCATCTCAATGGGAATAACCCTTGAGGTGAGTCTTGGTTAGCTACCTAGTTTGAATAGAGTTCAAGATGTGAGTTTGGAAACAGTTTGAGAAGTTTGGCCTATCCTGGTTTATCCTAAACATAGATGGTCTGAGGAAGGGTGAGACAGGTACAGTACTAGACTACCTGGTGTTCTCAAGCCCTAAACTGCTTTCACAGTCCCAAGCTGACCAGGCCCTGATAGCCTCATAGGCACTAACTTCTCTGATGTTATGAAGAACTGATAGCCCTAGTGAATTCATGTTTTCCCTTAGCCTCTGCCCAGGAAATTAAAAATGATGTAATTATACAAAATACATTCCCAACACAACTTTCATTTGGCCTTATTACTAAAACAAACTTTCATCCTGATTCCCACACCAGTAATTGCAGCTTTGGGGCTGTAATCTTGGTTGTCTTTTTCCTTTCTACTTACTCTAGTTTTACATCACCTTTATACTGCACTCTTGGGAGTAAAATTGCCAAAAAGTAGAAGAGGAAAAGTTGCTACTAGGAGAAGTCTGCCTGCCCAATTGGCAGGAGATGGGAATGTAAGGAATCTGTCCATTCTTTGGTGAGATCCCAGGGAAAAGGAACAAAAGTACAGACTGATAGAAAATTCTTGATAGAAGCTCACTACAGCTGCCACTTCTACTTTGACTTACATACAAAGAATTTCATTTCTAATACACTGCTGTTTGGAAATACTCTCAATTTTTTTTCTAAATTTTGAAACATTGAAAAGAATTAGGTGCTTAAGAAAATCATCTTCAATTTACCTGGAGAAGAGAGTTCTTGAGAAATCTTCCTTTAAAATGATACTGACTCCAGCTAAGGTCTAGCTACATGGTACCGCCTGGTCTAGTTCACAATACTTCCCTCAGAGCTTTTGTACTGGCTGTGTCCGCTCCTAAGTAAGGTCTTCCCCTAGGCATCCTTATGACTCATTCCTTTGCTCAAATGCCATTTCATCAGAGAGATTTTTCCTGGTCATTCCATCTAAAAAGATTCTCCCCTACCGGAATCTACCCACCAGCACTCCCCGCATTCTTTATTTTCCCCAGCCTTATTTCTATCCATGGTAATCATTGTTCTCTAATTCTAACTCTGGTTTTGATTATTGTTACTACTGATTGCTTGTTTTCTCCCATTAGAACCTAAGCTGCATAAAGAAATGTTTTGTTCCTTGTAATAGCCTTATACTGGGAACAGCCCCTGACAAGTAATAAGCATTCAATGATTCATTGAAGTAATGAAATAATGAATGCATATGACTTCCAAAGTTGTGAATGCTTAATTTTATTATGCAGCAAAATAATTTTTCTCTATAAAGATTCTTCGACATATGACAATGTAAATATTTAAAATAATACCACAGAGTGGGTAAGCTTAACAAAAGGGGTTTAGTTCTGGAGGTACAAGATAAAGGGACCACATCTGCTAGTGGTGGTCTTCCTGCTTGCTGAGTTCCAAGAGGGTGCAAAGTATCCTACAATAGAGACAGAATGTGTGCGTGTGTGTGTGTGTGTGTGTGTGTGTGTGTGTTCTCTGATCTCCATCCTATACAGGCACCAGTATTCAATCATGTGGGTTCCACCTGGATGACCTTATCCAATCTTAGTCACTTCCCAAAGCTTCACCTCTAAATACCAGAGTAGGATTAAGCTTCTACCCTCTTCAAACCTCGAAATGGAGGAGACAGACTCAAACTACATCTAAAGGATAGGAAAAACTCCACAGGTCACCTTTAGTGATGATCATATGGCATGACAACAATGCAGACTAATTTTCAGAAGAGCTTGAGCTAAACTAAGTTTTATTTTCTCAGGCTAAGGCCTAATTTGGAAGTTCTAAACTTCCACAGTTTTGCTAATGGCACCATTGATGCTTGCACTGGTATCACTGATCCTTTATGTGTGAAAATTAACTACCTCTCAGAGAGCTCTCTCTGGCACTGTGCTGCTCATACATTGCTGGAAAAGCCTTTTGACTATCAGGTTACATCGTTATTTGCCCCCAGAAAATCTGAACAGCTTTAAATTTTCCAAATAATCTCCAACAGTAAACTGTACATAATATTCAACTATTCATTGGATTTTTAATCATTGGGGCCGGGAAGATGGCTCAGTTGAATAAGCGCTTCCCTGGCAAGTGCAAGAGCCTGAGTTCAATCCCCAGTTTCGTTAAAAAAAAAAAAAAAAAAAAAAAAAAAAAAAAAAAACCCTATTCATTGTATGAATAGGTGAATTCTTGGACAGCCTTGGGGAATCAGAATTCTGAGGACCAGCACAGGAGCAATGCGCATGCGCAGGGCGTGGGCCCTAGCAAGAGAGTTCGGTTGTCATCTCGCGCGGGCTCCTCCAGGTCTCGCGAGGCTAGGGGCGTTGTAACCAGTGCCCTAGTCTTTGCGGTGGTTCAGGTCAGGGCTTTACAGCGAAGTCATTCGCGCCTGTGGCCTCTGCGGAGAGAGGCTGGAATCCTCTTGGAGCGCAACTGGGATGACTGGCCCGGCTAGAGGGTGCGGCGGAAGCGAGGGGCTGCCCTGGAGCGTGGCGCAAGTCCGTGCGAGGAGGGCGCTCTCCGCCCCGGGGACAGACCTGGGCCTGCGGCCTGCGCCGGCGCTTCCGGGGCGCGGCCGAGCCTCGGTGACTTCGCGGCCGGGCGCGCGGGGGACGCGGGCCGCTCGGAGCCGCCGGAGTGGCGGTGTCGGGAGCCGCCGCGTCCCCGCCGTCCACGCTGCGCTTGGACCCGGAGTTGGGAAGTCGGCGAAGCCCTGTGTCTCCTCAGGCTGTAGAATCTCAGCGAGGAATTTCGATTATTCCTTTGTCTCAGTAGCATCCGCGCGGGAAGACCGTGTCGCGGGGCGCCTTAGGGTCGTGGCCGGTACAACCTTCCGGGAGCTATGGAGTAAGGTCGCGTAACTGGATGTTAGAAAGACAGAGTACCTGCAGGATAAAATTAATCAGAATAGAGAGTCACTTTAACTTGAGCTTTTTAAGTCAGCCAAAAAGTGGGGGGAGGGGGAGCCTTTTAAAACTATATATTGGTGTGTTTCCCTGCCCAAATTAGTATAATTTTCCTTGATTCATTGTATTTTATATCCTTAGTATCATTCTGAACTTGGCTTGACTGTATAGACTTTAAATTAATAATGATGGGAGCTTTCTTAAAAGCTTTGAAATTGAAGGTTGAGTTAGCTGTATTTTAATTTAGTGTTAGAGAAGGCTTGCCAGTGTTATTAAGTAAAATTTACATTTAGTGTATAAAAATGCCTTCCATTTGAAAAGCTGACAAATAAGTTCCTTAGAAATTGTTTTACAGCCCACACAAGTAATAGAAGAGATTTCAAGTCAAACACTGGAAGAGATGTCAGAGGATTCAGATAAGGAAGACTATTCAGACAGAACAATAAGTGAAGAGGAATCAGTATGTTTTTCTTAACTTTTCTTTAACTGAATTAGATAACGTATTTTTTAAAATATATTCCCAAATAAAATACTGTAAAACACTGTAATATAAAAATGTAGTTGGACATTTAAATAATTGTTACTGAAGTTGGGAAATGATTAAGAAGGAATCAAGAGGTGGAAGGATGGAGGGAGAGGGGATGAAATGAGGAACCAAGGCATGTTATGTAACTACCCACTCCGCCTGAGGAATGTAAATGTGTACTGCAGACATGTACCAATAAAAAAATTAAAAGCAAAAAAAAGCCAACATTTTCTTGGAAAAATATTTTGGCTGAGATTCTTCTGGATTTTATTAAAGTGTGCATATTAAGCTAGGATTTTCTTGTTATAGTTGGCACCACTTTCTTATATGTAGTAATTCTGTTGTGTTGTAATCGTTGTATGTATCATGGTAGAAACCCATGTTCTAATCCTACTGTGCATGACCATGATAAGGTTAGAGTAGCTTTAATATCACAGAGGGAAAAAAGGAGAAGAAATGAAGTGTTTAGAAATATTTTGATTGACCCTAGTACATCTGACAGATTTCCTTCAAATTTCATTTAAATATAAATAGCACCAATGTAAATTAAAGTGCAAAAATAAAGTCCCTAAGGTGATGTATAGCCCTGTGAGGCATGACTTTGTGGTTGTCAGTAGCTGACAATCAAGTTGACAACCCCAAGTAATAAGGTATATGTAAAAACTACATTTGGAAATTGCTGGGTTTCATATTTAAAAATTCTTTTGTTTTAGGATGAGGATACATTCATGAAATTTGTAAGTGAAGATATTCATCAGTGTACATTATTAACAGGTTTGAACTTCACCATACATTGTTCCTCCCTCATAAAACCTTGAGTGGATAAAAAATAAGATGAAGAAACTTTTAAAAAGCCAAATTGGGTAAAATAGGGAATGACTGTTATGGTTAAAAGAGATATGTGTTGTATCTACTTTTATAGAAATTTTTGTAGTTTAAACTTCAAGTTGGTTTTAGGTGAACTGATTTATATTAGAAAATAATGAAAGTGATGGTTACAAAGGCCTTCACTAAACATAAAGATTACACTGTCATTTCTCTTAAAAATAAAAATAAAAACTAGGACTCAATGTATTTATAGAATGTCCGAAGTTGTAGTCAATATGTAAGAGGTACATCTTTCCCATAAATGAAGTATCTTTACATAGTTTGCTTAATAAAGTCATTGTATCCTGGTGTTGCTAGGATAAAATACCCAACATGCACAGTTAAGAGGAAAAGAAGGCTTATTAAAGTCCATGGTTCCAAGGAAGAAATGGCCCAGTGGAAGGGCATAGAGGAGGAATGCTGCCTTATCTCGTAGCAGCTGGTAGGAAGATGGGGAGGAGCAGGAAAGGAAGGGACCAGGGACCAGATGCCCCCCGAGGTCGTACTCCATGAGTCACCAGATGCACCAAGATGTGTGCTTTACTAATCTAGGTGACTCCCTGGTCTAGGACATCAGCGTCAAGCCAGTCAAGTTTGGCAATTGAGATGAACCATCACAGTGATTCATTTACATATATCCATGTATGTAAATATTGATGTTCACTTGATTTTTAAAAATTACTGTTTATAGAGTTCAACTTCCAAACACCAACATTTTTCCCCTAAATATTTATGTGTCTGACAAAGATAGTCCAACATTGAAAGTAAGGCCTTTGTTGACCTACATAGGTATTCATGTATTTTTTATGACCATCCTAAAACAAATCTTCACTTTTCAGATAACATCTATTCTCAAGTTGCTGTGCATTTTTCTAGACCTTTTCTGTTCCACTGATACATACATCTATATATTCAAAATTTGGTAGTAGTTTTGCCAGGTGTGGTGGTGCATGTATGAATCCCAGCTCTTGGGAGGCTAAGGCAGGGGATGGCTTCATGTTCAAAGCCAGCTTGGGCTACAAAGAGCTCAAGGCCAGCTTGAGCTGCATAGCGAGACTCTGTCTCAAAAAGACACACACTCAAATATATATATTTGTAGTAGTGTTTCTGTATTTCTCCCTCCCACATTTTTTCTTGTATTTTGCTGGTTGATTGTAAAACAGGAGGTAACTTGCTGTTTTAACTAACATTTCCTTGATAGATGAATGAAGAATATTTTAATAGGCCTCATGCCTTTTATATTCCCTGATAGTATGAATTGTCAAGTCATAGTAATCCTTTCACTCTGTTACTGCTAAGAGTTACTCAATTATTTTTATATGATTATCAGTATTTTTTATTGTCATCTTTTATTTTTGTATCTTGTTTAAGTCACAGGCTTCCCCTACCTGCAGCATCATGTAAATTTTCTTTAAGGACTTTTCTGTATTTATTTGAATTTCATTATTTTATTTCTCTATCATTTATATGTATGAGTAATATTGGTTTTGCTATTGCGTGTACCAGTACATTTATTCTTTAGCTGACTTTAAAAAGTTTTGTTTTATTAGTATATTTTAGATACACTTTTTTTTGCAGAGCCAGAGATTGAACTCATAGCCTTGCGCTTTCTAGAAAAGTGTTTATTCAACTGAGCTATCTCCCCAGCCCCCCACATTTTAAATATAACATCCATTTTAGGGAATTTGTACCCCTACAGGATATATCTTGCTTCTTTTCTTCGCATTCCAGGTCCCTCCCTTCAAACCCTTCTCTCATTATTTACAAAAGCTTGGTTTCCATTTTTTGCCTTCTATGGTCTGTTTTTCCTTGTCTCTTACTTCCTTTCCCTCTGCCCCCTCCCTAGTTCCCCTTTGCATTTCCCAACGTGTACATTTTGGACCTCATTTACACTTTGTGTTGTTCACACCAGAGAAACAATGCAGTGTTTACCTTCTGTCCAATTTATTTCACTTAAGATTACTGTTTCAAGGTACATCTACTTACTTAGAAATGTCTCAAACTTACCCTTCTTTATGATAGAGTACTCCTCTGTATAACACCCCCCACACACACACACACACAACTTTATCCATTCATCCACTGATGGGTATCTCAGTGATTTCAAAGATTTAGCTATTATAGACTGCCACTATAAACTTGGGTGTCCATATTTCACTATGGTATGATGCTGTTTAATTTTCAGGGGAGGGCACCAAGAAAGGGAATAGCTGGGTCAAGAGAGAGCTGTAGTTTTAGTTTTCTGAGGAATAACCACACTGATTTCCACAGTGGTTGCACCAGTCTACCTTCCCACCATCAATGGAAAAGAATTCCTTTATCCTTGTACTTGCTAGTTCTATCTCTACATCTGAAAAATGTCTTCATATCAGATGCCTATTTTTGGGTTGGGTCAGTTTGGGGAACTGATTTTTTAAGTTCTTTATATATTCTAGATACTAGTCCTTGGAGGAACAGCTGGCAAAAGTTTTTTCCCACACAGTGGGCTTTCCTCTCACTCTTTTGGTGATTTCTCTTGCTATGCAGAAACTTTTTAATAAGATGCGATCCCAAGTGTTGATTCTTTGTGATATTTCCTGGGATTTTATTCATAAAGTTTTCCCACACCAATATCTTTAAGAGTTCTACCTATTCTATCTTCTAGCAGATTTAATGTTTCTATTTTAATATTTAGATCTTTGATTCATTTCAATTTTAGTGCATAGTGAAAGATAAGGGTATAGTTTTAATCTTTGTCATGTGGAAATCCAGTTTTTCCAGTGTCATTTATTAAAGAGGCTATCTTTCTTCCAGTGAAAGTGTTTGGCTTCTTTGTCAAAGAGAAGGTGGCTGAGTGTGTTTGTAGTTATTTCTACATCTTCTGATCTGTTCTATTGATTCTTCAGTCTGTTTTTTGCTGGTATCATGCTATTTTTATCACAGCTTTGTAGTGTAATTTGGAATCAGGTATTCTATGCCTCCTCCCTTGTCTTTGTTGCTCAGAATTGTTTTTGCTGTTCTAGATCTTTTGTGTTTCCAAATGAATTTTAGGAGTGTCTTTTCAAATTCTGTAAGATGATATGCTATTTGTATTGGATCAGGATTGCATTAAGTCTGTATAACAAGTTTGTAAGTATGGCCATTTTTGTTCCATTGGTTCTTCCTACCTAAAAACAAGGGAGATCTAATTTGTAGTGTCTTTTTTGCTCTTTTTTCACAATACTGTAGTTTTAGATGTCAAAGTCTTTTACTTCCTTCATTAGATTAATTCTAGTTATTTCAAGTTTGAGTTTTGTTTTGTTTATTTTTTTAAGCTATTATGAAAGGCATTTCCTGAATTTCTCTCTCAGTAAGTTTATTTGTGCCATACACTGATTTTTGAGTGTCAACTGTGTACCAGCTAAGCTACCGAATTTGGTTATTAAATCTGGAAGTCTTTGGTAAGAGTTTTTGGGTCTTCTATGTAGAGTATCATGTCAAATACAAGTAATTTCTTTCTTAATTCCTTTTTCATGTCTAATTGTTCTGCTAATGTTTCCAAAACTATATTGAGTAAGAGTGGTGACAGTGGACATTCTTGTCTTGTTCCTGATTTTAGAATAAAAGCTATCGTTTTTGTCTACTTAGGATGATGTTTGCTCTTGGTTTGTGATAGATGGCTTTTTATCAGATTGAGATAAATACCATCAGTTCCAGAGTGTGTGTGTGTGTGTGTGTGTGTGTGTGTGTGTGTGTGTCCTCTTCTTTTTTTTTGGACTGGGGATTGAACTCAGGACCTTGTGATTGCCAGGCAGGCTATCCCCCCAGCCCTGTGGGGTTTTTAATCATAAATGGGTGTTGGACTTTATCAAGTGCTTTTTCCTCTCTTTTTTCTTTCTTTCTTTCTTTCTTTTCTTTTTGATACAGGGTCTCACTGCACAGTTCAGACTCATCGTGATCCTCATGCCTCAGCCTCCCTTAGTGCTGGGATTATAGGCATGTGCCACCATGCCCAGTTCTAGGGGGGACACAGCGCTCCTGGGGTTCCAGGGAAGGCACAGCATGTGCCAAAGATCAAACTTGGAACCTTGCGCTTGCCAGGGAGGCACTTATGCCACTGAACTATCTCCCAGCCCTCCAGTGCTTTTTCTGTGTCTATTTAATATGGCGTATTATATTTCCTTCTTTTCATTTTTGGAATTATTTATATTACGTTTCTTGCTTTGTGTTTGTTGAACCATCCCTACATCCCTGTTTTGAATTCTGCTTGGTCACAGTATATAATTTTCTTGATTTACTGCACTTTCTTTGCCAGTATCTTACTGAAGCTTTTGCATCTATGTTCATTAGAGAGATTGACCTATAGTTTTCTTTTTTGATTGGATCCTTCTGTGATTTTGATATCAGAAGTATTGCTTGTTTAAGGAATGAATTTGGGAGTATTCATCCTTTTCAGTTTCATTAAAGAATTTGAGTAGTGGTGGCATTAGGTGTCCTCTAAATTTCTTACAGAATTCAGTAGGATATCTGTCAGGCTTTTCTTTATAGGTTTTTAATTATTTCTTTAATTTCGTTAACTGATACTAGGTTATTTAGAATTTCTATGTCTTCCTGATTCAACTTTGGTAATTCATATGTATCTAGCAATCTGAATTGCTTCTGTTTTTCATCATATTAGAATATGGGGTCTGAAAGTAGGTATTGCGGAACTTTAGGATTTCTGTAGGATCTGTTATAATTTCACCCATTTTGTACATGGATTTGAGTCTCTCCTATTTTTGATAAGGTTGCCTAAGAGTTTGTCAATTTTAATCTTTCAAAGAATCAACTCCTTAATTCATTGATTCTTTGTATTGTTTTCTTGGTCTCAGTTACGTTAATTTCTGTTCTGAGCTTTATTATTTCCTCTCTCCTAAGAGCTTCGTGCCTGATTTGTCCTTTCTCTAGAA